TCACATCGGTGGTTAATGAGATGGGTGGACTCCTTATAAGGATTAGACAATCCTCATCCTTTTGAGCTAACTTTTGGGGTGTGGGTTAGGCCTAAGACCTAATTTCACCAAACTCCCAGATTTGATCGTGATACTTCAATACTCAAAAAAAATTGTAGGTATCCTAGGTCTTTCATTTCAAACAAGGTGGCCAAATACCATTGTAGTTTCTCCACTTCTTCAACATCATTTCCAGTAAAGACTATATCACCTACATACATTATTAATGCTGCAATTTTTTCTCCTTCATGTTTGACAAATAAAGTGTGATCAGAATTACTTTGTGTATTACCAACTAACTTCATTCCTGAGGTAAACCTTCTAAACCAGGCTCTGGGTGATTGTTTAAGCCCATACAACGATCTCTTCAACTTTACATACTTTACAATCATGTACATACTTATATTTAACACCAGGTGGAATTCTCACATATACTTCTTCCTCAAGACCACCATTCAAGAAAGCATTATTTACTTCAAACTGTCGCAAAGGCCAATTTCGATTTACTACCACTGATATGAGGATGCTGACGGTATTAAGCTTAGCAACTGGTGCAGAAGTTTCTTGATAATAAACTCCATACTTTTGTGTGTAAACTTTTGCCACCAACCTTGCTTTATACCTGTCGATGCATCCATCAACTTTATGTTTAACAGTATATACCCATTTGCATCCAACAGGTCTCTTCCTTTTCGGCAATGAAACTAGTTCCCAAGTTGAGTTCTTTTCCAGAGCCTCCATCTCTTCATTCATTGCTTTCATCCACTTTGGATCCGTTACTGCTTTCTACACACTATTAGGAATATACACTTTGGACAATTGATCAACATTTAGGGCATATGACTCTGAAAGTCTATGAGTAGATGTAAAATTATTGATATGATATTTAATATTTACTCTAGCATCAGGTTCATATTGTTTCTTTGGGACACCCCTATTTGATCTTTGTGGTAATTGGGGAGGGTAACAGATAATTTGAGAGGGATTCGTTTGTTACCTGGGACCAATATTAGCTTGATCATTCTGAGAAGGAGACTCCTCGGTAATTGGTGTTAACACAAGCTCTTCTAATGGATCTTCATCATCATTATTCATAGATACATTTGGCAAACTTAGAGCATCTACATTGGGCTGATCACTGGTGACTTGAGGTGTATTTAATTCTTCTTCAATGGCCTCTAATTCTGAAAATATAATTTCATCTTTAGAATTTCCATTGTTTCTTCCATATATCTCAGTCTCATCACTCGACTCTTACACTTCTATTTGTTTGTGTAAAATTTCAAAGTGAGTCCAAGAGTTCCCCCATACACTTCAACAGGGCATCAAACAATAAAGTAAGCCCTAATGAAGCGGTCAAGGGAACTCTAGGGAACACCTTGATAGACTTAAAACCCATTTTTGTTCATCATCTCCGATCCAAATTACTCCTCCGTTAAGTTAGCGCACGTTTCTTAAGAAATAATAATGATTAATATAAGTAATTTATATAATACTTATATTAATTGGGGTTTAGTTTTAATTTAGATCTACTAGAGAAATGACTACTGGGTAAACTATTTATTAGAAAGACGTTCAATACCATAAATACTAAATTCTACCTATACTTTTAAAAATAATTTTGTATCTTATACTTTCAACTCATCAATTAGTTCGATCAACTCATCAACAATTACTTTGAATTCGAAGATCAATAAAAGTTGATAATTTCTTAATTGATCGTGTATAGTTTGATAAGTAAAATTTTGAGATTCTATTGTGAAACATGTGGAGATTTGTGGACATTCGTGTTTGTATAGTTTACCAGCATTATCATACAAAAGATGTCCAATTTCACAAATAAATTGAATTACTACTAATTTAAATGCAAAAGAATTATGGAAATTTGGAGGGGGGGGGGGGTTCAGGGCACCCTAAGGTGTAATAAAAATTGGATTCTTCATAAGCAAAAATCTCCATGATAAATTAATTAACTTGACTAAATAATATTAGGAATTTATAACATACATGCATGTACGTTTTCTAACTTGATATTTTAGCTAACAAATTTAAAGTTTTTCTAAGTTGAGATCGTTGGTTTTATAAGATGTGAATGGAAAATGAAGAGTTGTGGCTTTTCTGATCAAGAGTTGCGACTTTTCGAAATGTTGTGAGAAGAGTTGTGACTTTTTGAAAGGTTGTGGCTTTTTCGAAGAGTTGTCACTTTTCGAAATGTTGTGACTTTTCTGAAGAGTTGCGACTTTTCTAAAGAGTTATGACTTTTTTAAAAAATTGTGATTTTTTCAAAGGATTGTATTTTTGAAGGAATGTGACCTTTCCGATAAACAATGGAGAGCCGAATTCATATATTTTTTTTCACTTTCTCATAGTTTTAAAGTATTTTCTTTTTTTTCTTTTACCTTTTTTTCCATAAATAACACAACACAACCAACGCCCATAAGTCCAATATACATATTGTACATAAAAACATATATGTACAATCCAATAGTAACAATAAAATGTTTTATTTATCAAACCAATAAACTCAAATTCAAAAAAAAAAAAGAAAGAGAGAGAGAGAGACTTAAACCTAATTAGGAGTACAAGTAGGGCAACCAATATTCCTAATCTATCCAATTTTTCATACATTTGAAATGAAACCTATGTTTACATGACATTTTTATGATTGAAGATCCTCTAAAAATGTCTCCACATAAATTGCAACTCTTAATTAGGAACAATTTTTGCATCATTCTCCTTTATTTGCTTGTACTTGTGCAACATATTAATCTTCACACCGAGTTTCAACATGTAACAATCATCAACAAGCACAGAACGATGAGTATATTGACATAAAATTGATTGCAATGACACTAAAAGAAAACGAAATCATTCAAAAAGTGGGAGAAGTATGCCTTACTTGCTAAATCCCGAGGCTTGCTCAAGTGGTTGAGCATTCGAGTCATGTTGAAGGGTAAGTAAGAACGCTATAAATCGTTTGTATTGGTGTTTTTTGCATAATCAAACATTTCAAAAGCAAAACATTAACTGAACATACAGATAGATTTTGCCTAAAAACACACATTTTATATCAACTCAACCTGACTAAAGCCTTAACAAGACAAACCTATAACTTAAGTCTAGCAAGTACAAACTCTTGCAATATTTCCCAAGAAAAATTTAAAGACAACAAAAGGCACACCATCTATATCTTATAATTTAGTTCCTTTCTAACATTAAAAGTAGGATTATGGACATAATGAAGTTTTGTTCAGTCAGTGATCGATCCTCGGGTACTACTTTCCTGCTACATCTGAGATTCTTGCAGAGTTACCGCTTCCATTCTGCTCGAGTCATCTTATCTGAAATGGTAAAGGCAAAAGTTACATGTGTAATGTCAAGTAGAAGCATTGTCTACGAGTTCCTGTTAGAAATTTAGCAGACTTGACAACTATGTCATCTTAACGAGACTCGTGAACGATGGATCTTATTTGTATGTTTTAATACTCATAATCCACAGAGTGAACTACAATTCGTCTGTTTCAAAAGTCTGTGTCTAACCAAACTAAGACAAACATATTGAAATGGACGAAGAGAATGAGTTGGCACTTAAATACTCACCAGTACCATCCCTTGAAGACGATAAAGATCTGTTGATCTTGATTTGTCATGACTTTGCCTTTTTCGCTCAGTGTCAACCTCAGACTGACTTTCAAATTTGGTACTTTCAAATTCAAATGGGACACTAAACAGACTTGTGGTGGTGACTATTATACGTGTATTTTCAGCGGAGCCACTAAAAACACACTTTTAATATGGCGACTATTATCGGTATTAATAGCGATTTGAGATGCCACTAAAGCCAAACCCGACATTATATATATAATCTTTGTATTCATCATCTCTAGCTAGTACGTACTCATGCATTTATATATACTTGTTTGCGTAATTTTTAAAGTCAACCCAGGAGTTCCACCAGACACTTTAGCAATGCTTCTAACATCAAAGTAAGCCCTCATGAAGTGGTCAAGGGAACTCTAGGGAACACCTTAATAGATTTATACGTGAACTATTATGTTCATCATCCACAGCCAGGATTCATACACTTCTATTTGTTTGTGTAAAATTTCAAAGTGAGTCCAAGAGTTCCCCCAAACACTTCAACAGGGCATCAAACAATGAAGTAAGCCATAATGAAGCGGTCAAGGGAACTATCGGGAACACATTGATAGACTTAAAACCAATTTTTGTTCGTCATCTCCGATTCAACTAATTAGAAGTATACTCTTGCATTTCTACTTGTTTGTTTGATGTTGTTACACCATACATTATTTATTTATAACACTGTTTTTACAAGAAAAATCCATCCCAAATGTGAAAGTAGGGTTTGAACTAGGATATGAGGTGACGCTATATTGAATGTAGCAACAAATATAGGTAATATTAAACTTTGAGAATATATCATGAAAAAAGTAATTCCTTCTTGTCTTTTCATCTCATATTGTACTTTTTCTTCTTTTGTTTCTTTTCATGTCTTCAAAGTTTGGATAGTGGCTTCACTTGCTAATTCTTATACCAAAGTTTTAACTTTATGATATTTAAAATTTGTTCAACTTAGTAGTTTTTCATTTGTATTTTCTTTTATCCGATTATTATTATTATTTGATTTTTCATAATTTTTTATATAAGTCAAATTACTTTTAAATGCATTTAAAGAATCATATACAAATTCACATCGCGAATTTTAAATACTTTAACTCTTGTGCAATGGAGGGGTGTATATTTTTATAAAGATACTCCAGATGGACAATTTACCATTTGTATTCATATTTGCCTTCACTTGGATAACAATGAAGACCATGTTCAATATTAAAATCTCAAGGGGTATATATATTCTTAGCATTATCAGCCTAATTGTTTGTTCCAAAGGAATATTTTCGTTAAGTTTGCGCACGTTTCTTAAGAAATAATAATAATTAATATAAGTAGTTTATAAAATATTTATATTAATTTGAGTTAAGTTCTAATTTAGATCTACTAGAGAAATGATTACTGGGAAAACTATTTTATTAGACAGACGTTCTATACCATATATACTTAATTCTACCTATACTTTCAAAAATAATTATGTATCTTACACTTTCAACTCATCAATTAGATCGATCAACTCATCAACAATTACTTTGAGTTCGAAGATCAATAAAACTTGTTAATTTATTAGTTGATGGTGTATAATTTGATAAGTCTTTTCTAGATTCTTAAAATTTTGAGATTTCATTATGAAACATGTTGAGATTGATGATTCTAGATCTTATACATTTTGAGCTATGATTTTTTTTTCACGATTAGAAATAGAGTAAATGACCATAGTTCTCAAAATAACAGTTAAAATTATAGAGATTAGTTATAAAATCATTTTGGACCGATTAATGACGAGTATATATAATGATTATTATAAGAAACATGAGGATTTAGTGATGAGGAAGATTACTAGATATTATTATTTTACACTTTTGAACAAAATAAATGATAAAAATGATAATAAAGATTTGGGGAGGGAGGGAGGGG